TGACGACAAAGTGTCGGTTTGAACGAACGGCACTATGGCAGCCACTATAGTCTTATAACACAAAATAGGAAGAGATATGAAGAGTTACGAGTTGGGAATGACTCCCAGCTCCTACAAACCCCAAGAGCCGAGGTACAGTGATGTGGAACAATGCCACACTGTCCCCAACCACGAAGGGTCTCGAAACTACCCTTCACTAGGGCCTACACCAAGTGAAATGTTACACTACACAAAGTAATGTAACTATCTTCAATATCTTGAGGTGTACCCTTTTGGCGAGCTTCGAAATCACTTGAGGCTTGACACCAAGGCTCGGGCTCTTCATCACAAACTCATCCTTGAGTTCTTGATGGGTCTGCTGCACACACCTGCGACACTCCGAACGTTCAACACAGGACAAAATAGAAACCACGCACGACAAAAATAGAAACCGCGCGCGAGACACAAACGACCGCGTAACACGCGTCTAGCGATAACTCGCTATTGACTCGACACACACACTCGACATCATGACTCAACATTCACACACAATTATAAGCATGAAATATATATTATCCCATGCCCTCATACCATTCCATACACACACACATGCACGCACACGGACAACAAGCCGAGTGCAAACCGTAGGGTTGCACCAACAGTACAGGTGGTGAGGAGGTAGGGGGAGATGCTGGTGTGGTTTAGGGCATGCTGTGCTTGGCCAGGGAGGTGGAGGGTGTTGGGCTAGTAGGTGTGAGCACCAGTGATGTCCCACGCATGCTTGCTGGGGCACTGCGTAGCCCTGAGGGCCCTGCATGGAAGGCATGCACTCAGAAAGAGGTAAATGCCATGCGCACTATGGATTTATGGGATCAAGAGCCGGTTGACTTACCTCCAGGTAAGAAAGCCATTGGGGTCAAGTACGTCTTCTGCAGGAAGACTGATAAGGAGGATAAGGTGGTACAGCACAAGGTTCGCCTTGTTGCTAAGGGGTATAATTAGGAGCCCGATAAGGATTTTGATCAGGTATTTGCCCCTGTGGGCAAGCTTACCTCAGGTAGGGTGCTTCTTGCAGAAGTCGCGGTAAAAGGGTGGCATGTACAACAGGAGGGTGTTGATCCCAGTTCGGTGGCCACATATCCGGGATGAAGAGCCGCACTCCAGCCAGCGAATCGAGGTCACCAAGCTTTGACTGGAGATTGTTGACGAGCAGCTCGGCCATGTCGGTGCAGAGCACGACACAGGCGTCATGATGGCCGGGTCCAAAGTAGTTCTTGTTTTTGCACTTGTGGAGGTCGAAACGGAAGCGGTTCATACTGCTGTGCGACGAGGCACCTTCCACCACCATCTGCGGCGACCCTTGTGGCCCGTGATTGGTGATGAACCGATACAGAAGCTCGCTGGTGCCGCCACCACAAAGAGAGAGAGGTTGTGTGCAAGATCTGAGTGTGCACGAGTGGGTAGTCGAGCTGCCACACACGAATCACACCGGTAGTTAGTACTAGTACTTCAAATAACAAGAATCTGAAAAACCAATGAACCGTCACTTACCTCCCGATGCTGGAAAACCTTGGAGAGGACGTCCAGCAGATCTAGCACGTCCGCTAGAAACCTCACAAGGAACTGGAAGCGATAAGACGTTACCAACTCGTACATCGTCTAGTCCTTCCACTCGGACAGCATAACAATAATGGCGGGCATGACTTTGACAAACCGCGACACTGCAGCACCCCGCGACAGCCATCGAACCTCGTGTATGCCTTGCATCTCGAGGTTCGTGGATGTGAAGACCTCTTGGAGCTCCAAAAAGCATTGATGCCAAGGACCCGAACGCCCAAGGTACTCTGCGACGGCGCGGATGACGTCGTCGACCATGTTGAAGGTCGGGATCTTTTCTGCTGCAGCTTTTGCAGCCAATGCTTCTCTGCAAGTAACACAACACACACACGATTATAGAGTTATATAGCAACACTACCTTAAACATGTTGTTAAAAATGCAGAGCCAGACGTACCGGTGTGCGATGCAGTGGAATGAGACGAGGTTGGGGATGAGCATTCGGATGCGTGCAACCACTCCTGTATGCTGCCCCACCATGACCATTGCGCCGTCTATGCTCATGCCCGATATTCGGCGGAGGTCCACGCCGACAGCCCTGAGGTGGGAAAGGAGCAGGCTTGAAAGGGATGCAGCATCTACCTTCTCAACAGTGAGATGTGCAAGGAACTCAGTGACGACAACACCATCGCGGATGAAGGTGGCAAACACAATCATGTGTTTGCCACGTCGCCGATCGGTGCTTTCGTCCAGCGTGATCCCAATGAAGGGACTCGTTAGAAGATGCTCCAGCTACGTTGTTTGGAGCCAAGTCGCGATTGCTTGAGTCAGCTCACCAAAGCCATACCTGTAAATGAAAAAACAGCACGGTAGTGAGCGGCAAACGAAATGCAAATTTGAGGGCAATGTTTTGAGAATTGTAAAAGCAGGAATCAATTATGTGTTGTAGTATGTGCCGTGTCTATTCTCTGGAAACCCGGGCACCTTCTTCTTTGCAAGGTAGCGGACAAGCCGGATCCATGAGTCCATGGGCTCGTTGCACTTGCTCATGAAGTACAACGACTCCGGTAGTGTCGAGATCCATCTCCTTGTCCTGTGCCTTGGGGTGTAGATCGATGCGGCGTTGTCCCTCCACTTTCTACAGCAGGTCATCCTGCCTCTGCAGTGCTAACCGATGCTTTGAGGTACCCTCATGCTTCTTGAAGGCCTGCGTATGCACGTCGGTAGCGCCTTCCACGCCGTCCACATTTGCCTGCCAATCTCGCGAATTCCATGCAGATGCTGCACTTAAAAGAGGGGGGCACCAGCAGAAGTCTTAGTTAGTATCAGCCATGGATAATCCGTACACCACCTCGACTTGAAACGGTCGTGCGCTTCTTCGTATTTCAGCTCAACTTTCTCGGGACGGGGTTTAGAGCTGTCCTGATTGGGTGATTCCTCCGCCACAGGAGCATGAACACTCGAAGCAGGTGGTGGAGTTCCCCACGCAATGGTGGCCTGCCGTAAACGCAGCTTTGGTAGTGGCGCGAGACGGGATGGAGTTTCGGCGGACGCCTCATGTAGCTTCGTCTGAGGCGTGTTTGTCACATGTTCAGTGGCGGCTTCGGGCAGAGAATCCAGGTGCACTGATTCTAGAGCGTGACTCGTGCTGGGCAGAGACGGTGCCGCTGGCGGTGCACAGGGCGTAGCTAAGGACGACTTAAGAAAGTCGAGGCCCGTCGCCATGTCGCCTAGACGGCGACGGCCTACATCGTCGTCGTCGTCGTCCAGCTCGTCGGCAGCAGTGTCTGTGGCAGCCATTGAGTCTGCCGAGCAGTGTTTTGCTAGGTTGGGAGAAGCTGCTTGAAACGAGGGATCAGGCAGTAGTAACAGGGGATGGCAAAGATCCGAGGGAGAGCCAGGCGACAGAGGGAATTGCAGGAACGGTCACGCTGGGTGAGTTGAGGAGGTCCCCTTTTTAGGACCTCAGTATGAAACCCTCACTACTCCCTGCATGCACTGCACCTGGTCGTGTATGCAGCGCAGGTGGGGTGGGGTGGATGGTTCTGGTGTCGTGCGTGGCGCAGCGCATTGCGAGCTATGCGTTGGCAAGGAATGTTGCAAACACTAGTTGCTGTACAGGGCCGATTGGTTGGAAATGTCGCTGATGGCAGCTTTGCTGTACCAACGCGACAGAGCGGTGCCGCGGTGGGGAAATACAGTTTACCGGCCGTGATTGACGGTGTCATACCTACACACCGCCTCGCTGGCCAGAATCCCCGTAATCCCGGAGTGCACCCCCGATAGTAGGCTGAGGCACAGCGTACACTCATACTTTGAGGCTGTAAAAACAAAGAAGGCATAAATAAAAACTCTGGAAAATCAGCCAGCATACATATATATATAAAAAAAAAAAAAAAAAAAAAAAAAAAAAAAAAAAAAACCTTCGACTTCAGCCTAGTGTATAGAAAAAAAACCTTATCTAATGTTGAATCGGCGTAAAAAGTCTGATACCTAGGGTCGTGCTGTGTATGTATTGGTGTATGTGGATGACCTCTTGCTTGTGTCTCCACGCTTGGAGGTGATCGGTCAAGTCAAGGAGGTCCTTGCTCAGAGGTACCAGATGAAATATCTAGGTGAGATATCCACTTACCTTGATGTGGAGGTTCGCAGGTTGGTCAATGATGGGTGGTTAGAGATTGGTCAGGAGAAGTATGGCTGTGGTTTTCAGGAAAGGTTTAGCGATCTGCTGAAGGAAACACATAAGGTGCATACTCCTATGTCACCCAATGATGTCTCTAAGATGGTACTTGGTCGAGTGAGGAAGGTGCTGCATCTGATGTCAAGGTGCACGAGAGTCTCATTGGCAGCTTGATGTATGCTGCTGTGACTACCCGTCCTAACATGTCCTTCACTGTCAACACCCTTGCACAGTCTTGCGTGGCATTAAGACGCATTCACATGCGCGCTGCACTGAGAGCACTCAGGTACTTGGTCGACACAGCTGATCGTGTCATCATGTATGAACGCCACAGTGTTGAGCAGGTTGTTGAGAACACCGACTCGGATTGGGGTGGTGAGACTAATGGCAAGAGTCGGTCTGCCTACATCTTTTAAGGAGGAGCAAAAGGCAAGAGAGTGTTGCAGCAAGCGTCTCTGAAGCTAAGTATGCTCCATCGGAGGGGGCGAAGGAGGCCATTTGGTTGAAAAGTTTGTTGGTAGAGATGCATGTGGGGGATGGGTGGGCTACGATATTCTATTGCTCAGCGATAATAAGGCTGCTGTCTCCCTTGCCCACAACTTGCCCAAGTTGGCTCCCAAGTTTCCTAAGCTTTAGGAGGAGGTTCTAAGACTACCATTGCTTCCGCTAGTAACTTGGATCATTCCAGTAGTTCCACCCATGCAACAAAGTAGAAGCATTGCATCACATCATCTTGGTAGCAGTGGACAACGCTCACATCATCATTGTTACAGGGCAAGCAGGAGGTCAGCGGTAGAGGGATTGGGTCTGCATGTTGTTGGCAATCTCCGTCTCCCACCGGTCCCCATTCTCCAACAGCTTCTCCTTGTCATACAGCAGCTCCTGGGGGGGAGAGGGGAGCCAGTGAGACAAGGATGAACAGCAAGAAAGGGTGAACGGTATGAAAGGGTGAACAGCAAGAAAGGGTAAACAGTATGAAGGGTGGGAGGCGAAGAGAGAAGAGGAGAAGAGAAGAGAAAATGGTGGGGGTGGGAGAAGAGAGAAGAGACGCAGAAGAGACGAAAGAAGAGAGTAGGGAAGGGTGGAGAGAAGGGAACATGGAATGGCAGGAAAAGAATATGAAGCAGGGACCAAACTTTGATGAATCCGCACCTCCTCCTGTCACAGCTCTTTCCTCTCCCACCCACACACACTCTCATAACGTATAAGGCCCTCACCCGCTCCCACCCTCTGTCACCCTCCCCTTCCCCCCTTTCCCACTGCGGGAGTCTCGACGGTAAATTTACAGTTGGGTCCCTCCACAACGGCGTCAACGGGACATGCCTCCCTCGCCCTCTCCCCCCGCCCACTCACAAAATCTCCCCCTACTGGCCGCCTCCCCCCCCCACCTCGTGGGTCTCGGTGGCGAACTCGAAGTTGGGGCCCTCCACGATGGCGTCCACGGGGCACGCCTCCTGGCACAGCCCGCAGTAGATGCACTTGGTCATGTCTATGTCGTACCTGCAGGGGGGTGAATGGGATGGGGGAAGGATGGGTTTAAACAAGGAGGTTGGGGGGGGCTTCGGAGCATATGTGGATGCACTTGCTCATGTCCGTGTAAAGCATGCATACATTGGCAGGAGGAGAGAGGGGCGAGGTGGGGAAATTTAGATCGCAAAATTGAATGCACTTACACTCTGTATCTAACAAGATTGGGAGAGGGGAAGAGAGGAAAGAGGTCCACGGGTGCATGGTTGCATGCATGGGTGCATGGGTGGGTGCATGGGTGCATGCATGGATGGTTGCATGGGTGCATGGGTGCATGGTTGCATGGGTGCATGGGCGCACGGGTGCACGGGTGCATGGGTGCATGGATGCATGGGTGCATGGGTGCGTGCATGGGTGCATGGGTGCATGGGTGCACTGGTGCACGGGTGCATGGGTGCATGGGTGCGTGCATGGGTGCATGGGTGCATGGGTGCATGGGTGTATGGTTGCATGGGTGCATGGTTGCATGGGTGCGTCGTTGCATGGGTGCATGGGTGCATGGTTGCATGGGTGCATGGTTGCATGGGTGCACGGGTGCATGGGTGCATGGGTGCAAGGGTGCATGCGTGCATGGGTGCATGGGTGCATGGGTGCAAGGGTCCATGGGTGCATGGGTGCATGGGTGCATAGGTGCATGGGTGTGAGGGTGCATGGGTGCATGAGTGCAGGGGTGCATGGGTGCATTGATGCGTGGGTGCATGGGTGCATTGATGCATGGGTGCATGGATGCATGGGTGCATGGGTGCATGGGTGCATGGATGCATGGGTGCATGGGTGCATGGGTGCATGGGTGCATGGATGCATGGGTGCATGGGTGCATGGGTGCATGGGTGTATGGGTGCATGGGTGCATGGATGCACGGGTGCATGGGTGGCATCCTCACCTCGTGGTTCGCCTGCTGCCATCCTCACGGGCCTCTGCTTCGATCGTGATGGCTTGGGCCGGGCACACCTGGGGCACAAGGAGACATGGAGAGAGCACACGATGGAACAAGGAAAGAGAGGGGGATACGGTGGGAAAGAGAGGGAGATACGGCGGGAAAGAGAGGGAGATACAGCGGGAAAGAGAGGGAGATACGGAGGGAAAGAGAGGGAGATACGGAGGGAAAGAGAGGGAGATACGGAGGGAAAGAGAGGGAGATACGGAGGGAAAGAGAGGGAGATACGGAGGGAAAGAGAGGGAGATACGGAGGGATAGAAAGAGGGAGATACGGAGGGAAAGTAAGAGGAAGATACAGCGGGAAAGTGAGAGGGAGATACGGAGGGAAAGTGAGAGGGAGATACAGAAGGAAAGAGAGGGATATACAGAGGGAAAGAGAGGGAGATACGGAGGGAAAGAGAGGGAGATACGGAGGGAAAGAGAGGGAGATACGGAGGGAAACAAAGGGAGATACGGAAGGAAAGAGAGGGAGAAACGGAAGGAAAGAGAGAGGGAGAGGGGTGCAGTTGTCGCCAGTTCTTGTAGTTTGAAATATCTGTCCTTTGCTATCGATTCTTTTACCAGTCGACGTGGTGATAGGAAGGAGCAATAGAGAGGGAGGGAGATTTGGAGAGCGACTGGGTGACGCATTTTGTCAAACTTGACTGACGTCACACAAAAATAAACTGTCTCATTTGTGAGAGAGAAGACAGGAAACAGAATGCACGAGAAGACAGGAAACAGAATGCACGAGAAGACGGATAACAACGTATGAATGCACGAGAGGACAGATAACAACGTATGGATGCACGAGAAGACAGATAACAATGTATGAATGGGAGGAGAATGGCAGGAAAGCAGCAGCGCCACTCACAGCCTTGCAGAGATTGCAGGGGATGCAGCAGTCTCATCAACCTCAACTCACGGATTCACGGCTTCACACACAGCTTGGACCCACCCCCCTCCCCCCACCGCATCCCTGCCCCCTTCCACTCACGGCCTCGCAGAGCTTGCATGCGATGCAGCGCTCTTCGCCAGTGGGGTAGCGCCTCAGGGCGTGCTCGCCCCTGAAGCGCGGACTCAGAGGGCCCTTCTCAAACGGGTAGTTGATCTGCCATGCCCCGGGAGAAAGGGCGCGGCGAGAGAGGGAGGAGATGCAGAAGAAATGGACTCATGGGAAGAAGGAGAGGAGTGGATTCTCTGAAACGGTTCCAGGGGCGGTAGAGATTTACAAGGAGCGCTGTTTGGTCTGAACGGCTAAATGTTGTGCAGAAGAGTTGCTTTGAAGCAAGGCTCTCCCACGGCAGTTCCTGACAGCAGTTGCCAGCCGCATTTCCCAGTGGCAGGTTCATTTGAACAAAAAACTTGACAATCACCACCCCCACGACACACGTGCACACACGCATGCACTGACGCACGCATTCATTCATGTGGTCAACCACACAACATACTCACCCACTCACAGCAGCTGCGCTCTAACAAGCTCGCAGCGGGCCACGACACAGCATGGCATGGCAGGCACGGCACGCGAATCCCCCTTACAGTGAGCTTCTTATCGAAGAAGTACTTGAGCGTGAGGCCCATGCCGCGCGCCAGCTCCGTGACCAGCAGCGTGTTCATGTTGCGCTCCAGCACTGCCACGGGTGGGGAAGTGGGGTGGGCACACGCGCACATGCACGGGTGGGACCACGTGGAAGGCAGGGGAAAGCCACACGAGATTGCCGTTTGGCAGGGAGGGAGAATTGACGGCCGTTGCAACGAATGCAATGCCTCGCATTGCATCATGGAGACTGTCGCCTGCAGCGCCTGGGCTTTCTGATGATGGGCTGTGGGGGTGAGAGGGAAGGTGGAACGGCCAACAGCAGAGACAGGATTTTCCGCCTTAATCGCGTGTCAGTACGTGAATACATGGGGCCTGTTGAATTGGTTCGATTACTGCGAGTCATTTACGCCAAGTCATTGGTATGGGATGATGAGAAAGGCATCACAAGTGTCGGATACTTGGTTCGATCAACTCGGATCACCAGCATGCGCGCACGCACCTGTATTGAGGTCGGCATGCGGCTCGGGCTTGGATGATGGCGGAGGGGCTTCCGGAGCTGATGCGCGAGAGCAGGATCGGGAGAGGCTCGAAAAAGGTTCGGGGAGAGGCGGAGGAGGGAGATGAAAAATGAGCGAGAGAGATGAGAGATGACACGAGGGAAATGCGGGGACGACAATCCAAGTAGGTTGACTAAGTGACCGTGATTGGTTTGGATGAGTTGTGACAGCGACGTGGCCATGCGATGAGTTGTGACAGCGACGTGGCCATGCGATGAGTTGTGACAGCGACGTGGCCATGCGATGAGTTGTGACAGCAGCGTGGCCATGCCGGGATAAACGCTATCTAGCTCACGCCAACATGCCGGGGTTCTAAAACATCACAGAGACATCGCACAGCGAAACCCGTTGGTTCTCTGTTGGGCTAAAATGGTTTATTAATCGTATGGTGATCACGCGACGAGAAACAGGTCGTGGGAACTCGATTATTCGCCAGATCACATCGCAGGACATCCCTAATCGCCTCGCCATAATTAATACCCGACGTGTAATGTAGAAACATACAGGCGTAGAGGCGATTCGGGTAAACACAGCAGCGCTACGGAGTGCATGAAAAGCTTGAACTAAAAGTTCGATCCTTTATAAGTACGAATCGCGGACTATGCAAGAAAGCGATCTCAATACGCACTGCTTTGCAAACTGTTTTGCGACGCCGCGAAGCCACGCGCGTAGACGGTGCTGACGGGGCATGACGTGAGCCGGCGAGCACAGCGAATAGCGGCGGGAAACATGGCGACGGAGACGGCGTGAAGCCAACGTTTTGATTGGCCGAACACGCGATGCCCACAATACCCAGACGATAGGCGGTAGTCTGTGGGAAAAACGTGTTACAACAATCAATGGCTGCCTTGTGGAACGGCAGATACGGAGAGCTGTGTGTCTTGACTAAGGCAATGGAGTTGCACTGGTGAAGAAATACCCACGCCTAGAGCATGAGGGAGACGGGGTTTCGATGCGGTTCAACTGGGTTCAGGAAATCGACTCAGCATTTGGGACTGAGGCGCTGAAAAACATTGTCAGGTCCATACATCCTCATTGTTAGTTGTCCATGGAAGTTAATAACGAGTTTGTGAATACACATGGTCCGCGCTAATTTCACTCTCCAATTTCACAAACAACATGGTCGCAGCGGAAGATCCAGTCTTTCCATTGCGGTCACCAGGTTAGACTTTTACAACATCAAGAATTTACAATGCCACGGATAGCCTCTAGTTCCGTGGGTGTCTGATCCCTAGAGTCAAAGAAGGTCAACGAGGCTTTAAGTAGAAACTTACGGGGTGTGAAACTGGTGCGGGCTGAGTGTACAATTACTTAGCAAACAACGAAACCCAACAATAATATAGCACGATACCTAGTTAGGTGAGGACCTCGGGCGAGGTTGGGCTAAGGCTACGAGGCGAGGTCATCGGACCGAACCTAGTATTTTGAAAAGTTGGAGTCGTACGAGTGGTAGCGTAACTGAGTTAGGAATCAAGAATATTCCTTACGGTTGTTATAACTGAAAGATCGTAGTGGATAGGATAAGTCTGTCAAGGTTTGAGGGAAGACATTTAAGTCGTTGTAGTGACCTTGTTGTAGTTGAAAGAAAACAAGATGATTATACCAGGTAGGAGTACAAGGATATAAATAGCAATCTGACAAAATTAGAAGAAAGAAAAAGGGATTGACTAGCAAGAATGGGGATACAAATAGCAAACCCTAACAGGGTTGTACTCGCTATAGAGCACCCCACTACAGGCTAGATGAGAACATTCTGACACACCCCCATAGCCAAAGTGGGGTGTAATCAGCAGAGCAAGCAAAGCAGTACAAGCTCAGGGTGGATCGCAATGTCACCACACATTCTGAGCACAAGTTCAAGAAGCAATAGTTTAAAGTTAAGAATTATGAGCAAAGCTAGAGGCTATCGCAGAGGGCAAGTGAGGAGGAGGAGGCGAGAGTGAGAGGAAAGGAGATAGGAGGCGACGGATGAAGCTGCAGACACACGGGCAACAGGAGGCAGACTGGCACAGCGGCTACCGGACGAAGCCCCCGGACTACAGGCGTAACTGGCCCCGCGGCTAAAGTAGCGGCAGACGAGCAACGGACCCACGGGCGGCTGGCACAGCTGGCTACGACTGAGCTACCGGACGAAGCCCCCGGACTACAGGTGCTGCTAGCGACACAGCGGCATCCTTCATTCAGCTCCCCAAACAGTCTCACCCCCCCTTGCACACACCCCCTACTGCACCCCTAGGGTCACTCACACCCCACCCCCTAGCACGACTCCAGCGACTCCCACACACCCACCCCCCTCAGCGGCAGCTACAGCAGTGGGAGACGGAGGAGGAGGAGGAGCAGGGGAGACCACACACCCACCACCCCCTACTCGCCACTCCCCAAACCCTAACTCAGGCAGGGCGGGATGGCGGGTAGGGAGGTAACGGGGGAGGGGGAGGGGGGGGGGGGGGGGACCGACGCGCGGCCGCCCAGGGCGCCAAGACAGGCAGCAGAAAGGGGGGGGGGGGGGGGGGCGGCGCTCGCCCCCCTCCCCCAGCCCCCGAGGGAGCCGCGACGGGCGACGGGAAAAGGGGGGGTCGCACGCGGGGCCGGGGCCGGGACGGGCGGCGCACGGGCGGTGTGGGGCCGGGACAGCGGCACACGGGCGGCGACAGGCCGGGGCTGGCGGCGCACGGGCTGCGACGGGCCGGGGCTGCTGCGCGGGGCCGGGGCAGCGGCGCACGGGCGACGACGGGCCGGGGCAGCGGCGCACGGGCGTCCACGGGCCGGCGCGCGGGTCCGCGTCGCCCGTCGCAGCGCCTCCCGAGGGCGACGCGCCGAGCGACGAGGCAGAAGCCCGCCGCGCGCCTCGGGGCGCACAGCGGGCAGAGAACCGCCGCGTGCCTCGGGGCGCACGGCGGGCAGAAAACCGCCGCGCGCCTCGGGGCGCACGACGGGAAGAAAAAACTGCCGCACGCCACGGGGCGTGCGGCACAGAGAGTAGCAGTAGCAGTTGCAGCGGAAGCAACGAGGTGGTGGTAACCCACTCACAGGATCGATCCAAGAGGATCGACCTGCTCTGATAGCATGACAAAATTAGAAGAAAGAAAAAGGGATTGACTAGCAAGAATGGGGATACAAATAGCAAACCCTAACAGGGTTGTACTCGCTATAGAGCACCCCACTACAGGCTAGATGAGAACATTCTGACACAATCCTAGCTAGCCATTGTGAAGGTTAGAACGAGAATGAAGAAGAGAGGAAGGGAATGGGTTTCACTAGCAGCAGTTGGGATACATATAGCAAACCCTAACAGGGTTGTACTTGCTATAGAGCACCCCACTACAGGCTAGATAATTATAACATTCTGACACACCCCCATAGCCAAAGTGGGGTGTAATCAGCACAATGAGCAAGCAGGTATAGAGCATGAGTTCACAATAGCGAGCAAAGCTAGAGTCATTAACAAAGGGCAAGTGAGGAGGAGGAGGCGAGACTGTAAGAGGAGAGGAGATAGGAGGCGACGGCTGAAGCTGTAGACACACGGGCAACAGGAGTCACACTGGCACAGCGGCTACCGGAACAACGCTCCGGACTACTGGAGTAACTGGCTCCGCGGCTAAGACTAGCGGCAGACGAGCAACGGACCCACGGGCGACTGGCACAGCTGGCTACGACTGGGCTACCGGAGCAACGCCCCGGACTACTGGTGCTGCTGACGATACGACGACAACCTCCGTTCAACCAACCTCTTCCAGCTGCCCCACACCTCTCGACACACACCCCCTGCTCAAACCCTAGCTCCACTCCCATAGCACCCCCCTTACACCCTAAACCGCAGGCTCACACACATCCACCTCCCTCAAAACCCTAGCTCCACTCCCACTGCACCCCCCTTAAACCCTAAACCCCAGGCTCCCACACATCCACCCCCCTCAGCGACAGCTGCAGCAGTGGGAGACAAAGGAGGAGGAGGAGCAGGGGAGACCACACACCCGTCACCCCCTACTCGCCACCCCCAGACCCTAACACAGGGCAGGGCGGGACGGCGGGTAGGGAGGTTAAGGGGGGGGGGGGGGCGACGCGCGGTCTCCCAGGGCGCCAAAACAGGCGGTAGAAGGGGCGATGCTCGCCCCCGCGGCCCCCTCAGGTCGCCTCGACAGGCGACGGGAAAAGGGGGGGGGGGGGGGGGGGGGGCGGTGCACGTGCCCCCGGTGCGCCGCGGCTGGCGACGGGGCATGGCCGGGGCGGGGCCGGGGCAGGGTCGAGGAGGGGCCGAAAGGGGCGGCGACGGGGCCACAAGTGGCGGCGACGGGGCCGCTGGAGGCGGCGACGGGGCCGATAGGGGCGGCGACGGGGCCGCTAGGGTCGGCGACGGGGCCGCTGGCGGCGACAACGGGGCCGCTGGCGGCGACGACGGGGCCGATAGGAGTGGGGACGGGGCCGCTAGGGTCGGCGACGGGGCCGCTTGCGGCGACGGGGCCGCTAGGGTCGGCGACGGGGCCGCTGGAGGCGACGACGGGGCCGCTGGCGGCGGCGACGGGGCCGATAGGAGCGGCGACAGGGCCGCTAGGGTCGGCGACGGGGCTGCTAGCGGCGTCGACGGGGCCGATAGGGGCGGCGACGGGGCCACGAAGGGGCCGCGAGGGGTCTGGAAGGGCGGCGACGGGCCGCGAAAGGGGCGGCGACGGGGCCACGAAGGGGCTGCGAGGGGCCTGGAAGGGCGGCAACGGGGCCGCGAAGGGGCCGCGAGGGGCCTGGAAGGGCGGCAACGGGGCCGCTAAAAGTAGCGCGAGGGGCACGCCACTGGGCGTGCCGAACACAGAGTAGCAGCGGAAGCACTTGAGTGGGCCCACACGCCAGAACCGTAGATGCTCTGATAGCATTTGAAGGTTAGAACGAGAATGAAGAAGAGAGGAAGGGAATGGGTTTCACTAGCAGCAGTTGGGATACATATAGCAAACCCTAACATGGTTGTACTCGCTATAGAGCACCCCACTACAGGTTAGATAATTATAACATTCTGACAGCCATGTACTCTGAGAGGTACATTCCCTTATCTAACTGAATTACATTCCTACAGTAACCACGACTATTGCGATTATTGACAGTTACTGTGTTGCATTGCGTAACTACCAAGTGCGGTTACTGGGCAGTCAAGGGCCACGACCATTGACTGTCTTCGACTGTTGACCTTCAGGTGACCCTCAACCTTCCGCATGCTCTATATGAGCTATTGCGATACTGATACAGACATGTTGCTTCGTTATGGAGTGGCGCGCGAGTGGAGAGCCTTTGGGAATGTTATGATAACCTTTTGGTTATTCAAACACTTACAATACCCCTTCCCCCCTTTTAGGAGATGTGATCCATATCAGGCACGCATCCGAAGAAAGGGATAAATTTTTTCAAACTAGCCCAAAACCAATATGAGGCCCTGCTCGTAGTACCAAGAGTCTACGAAGCGAGTCAGGCGTGATCCATGTGTCATCATCGCTTGCCTGGTCAACCCGCGGGAGTAAGAGGTTGACGCAGCGTCTGATTGTCGTCAAGCGCACGCGATGACTGAGAAATTTACAAGGTTCAAGTGTAGGCTCTATATTCAGCGTGCAATGGCTGACGACAGTGTGGCAAACGGTTGCATCGAAATAAGCGTCGAGAGAATTGGGGCAAGGGGATATAAAGTGTTAACCTAAACAAAATATTGTACCCTTTAAAGGGCAACTCAGTGTAGCCTAGAGTAACTAACCAT